CTTGGTGGAGGTTCTGAAGAACACGTCCACAGCTTTCTTCTCAGTGTCGGACCTGCAACCCACACTGCCAAATCCCCCAGCGTAGGCAGGATTCCTTCCATCTTGCAACTAAGCAAGGTAGCGAGGCACTGGAATTTGACAAAATGGCTAGCTTAGCTGAAGCGGCTAAAGCTTGGAGTTCTTCTAAGGGTTCTTGCGTTGAGTCATTGAGTCATTGAGCATTGAGCTGGATTCTGGATTCAACTAGATTCCCCTGAATCTCAGCAGCAGTCCAATCAGCCTACTGGTTCTCATGACCCATGATTGGAAGCATTCTTTCGATTTGATCGGTGGAAGATGATGGCGCCTAAAAATGCAATAAGTTTGTTTGAACATGTGAAGGTTTGGATGGTTCTAGGCGTAATACGTTCAATTCATGATGACAAACAGATGTGAGCAACCACACATTGGAACAACTTCGTGCCACTGAGAGCTCGTTGGAAGCAGAGGAGAGGGCCTCGTGGAGGGATTGGCTGCTGGAACAGCTGCGGAAGTCCAAGAAGCAGCCGCTGCCTCACTGTCGGTGTTTTCGCGCCAACTGTCGGTCTCAGCTGTCCAGGAGATCGAAGATATTTTTTGGCAACATAGACACAATAAGCTACTAGGAACACGTGCATCGCTACTAGGAGTAAGGGCCTTACTACTAGTAACAAGAAGCTAGTAGAAACCATGAGTAAATAGAAACAAGTGCCACGCTACTAGGAACAAGTGCCTTACTAGTAGTAACAGGAAGCTATTAGAAACAAGTGCCACGCTTTCATCTTTTCGATTCAAACCGACCCTTTGAACTTCGAACCGTTATGTAGGTTTAGCTCCAGCTTCGGACGCGCAAGGGCCTGTTCTACAATGTTTTGGAACACAAGTGAGCACAAGTGAGCCCAAAGCACTAAACAGGAGTCTCGAAGGTTGTTTTTGTGAAGGGTCAGAGTGGGCCTCTCTACAGTCTCAAAAGAAGCTGGCCTTGTAGAATGGAGAAAGGAACACATTAGATGCACCTCAAAGTTCTTTCAAACTGCAATTATATACCTCTCAAATCAACCAAACACCTGTCTCTTCAAGTTGTTGACGCTATCCTGCTTGAAAGCTGTCACAAATAGGCAAAACAACATTTTACCCAACTGTTTCACAAAAGGCTGTTGGATCGCTATTAGAAACAAGAAGCTACTAGGGCTCCTGGCCTTACTACTAGGAGCAAGAAGCTACTAGGGGCTCCTGGCATCGCTACTAGGAGCAAGGACGCTACTAGGGGCTCCTGACCTTAGTACTAGGAGCAAGAAGCTACTAAGTTGGAGGCCATCGCTAAGCTATGCCGATGCAGAGACCTCCTTGCAGGTGTCTCGTTCCAGAGGTTTCGCGCGTGGCTTCGGCCACGGCGGACTGCGGCTTGGACGGGCGGGCAGAGGACGCGAGGCTATGTTATTTGGTCAACATGAAGCATTTGGACTGTTTCTTTTTAAGTTGGTTTCTCAATTGGCATATGCTTTCTGTTCGCAAGAACAGTTGTAGGAATATTAGGCATACCTCTCACAAGGAGGAACCATCGATTCAATATGAATTCAAACGAGACAAAAGAGTTATGTCATCCACTGGCCCATCCAATACAATCCCTTCAATGATCCCTTCAATGCCGCTGTTCCTGACATGCATTGCTTCCCTCAATCCCTTCAGGTCTTTTGGAGGCCATTGCTATTAGGTTGGAGGCCTCGCTATTAGGTTGGAGGCCATTGCTTCTAG